GTATCACCAGCAGTTAGGAAGACTATTGATTGACTGGACCTATTTGAGTGTGAGAATCGGCGTGCTATGATGTACCCGGCACTAGGGTGTTTGCTCATATACAGGTGTCTAGGTGGGTTCGATGCCGTCAGGCGGAGAAGGGGGCATAGGTTGGTGGATAGAGAAGATAGAGAGATGAAAATGAAACAAAGGATAAGATTGGGAAGGATGGAATACGTTTGGAAGTGAGGGGGGGGAGCAAACAAAAAGCAAAAAGAGAAGGAAGCTGAGCTTCTTGTGGTGATCTCCCCGACCGGAATCGAGCCGGTGACCTTTCGATGGAAATCTGGGACAATTACAGTCGAACGTGATAGCCAACTACACCACAGGGAGTTATTGTTGTAAGCGGCAACAATTGCATAAACTATATTGTGGAGAAGTTTGTCATGGAACTCGGGGGCGCTCCACGTCTTGCCTGCGGCGTGCTTCCACCATGAGGCTCGTGAGGCAGATGTGCCTGGACGTGAATGCTTGTATTTGAACTGCATCTTTATTTACTTTTTTCCTGATGTCTTTCATGACCAGATCAAGTATGCTGATATCAGTGCCTTTGGGCTTTCCGTGCGGCGCTCTCAGGGGGCTTCGAGGTGCTGGGTATTACGTAAGCACGAGAGGCGCCTGACTAGCATGGACATTTCCTGCCACATCGTCAAGACATGGAGGGAGGAGTATGACAATGTCTGTGTCGGACTGTATTGAAATCTGGCGGGCGCACAGCACGAGGGCCGCTTAGGGTGATTCTTTAAAGGCCGGGTGGCTAGATATAGGGTTTTGATCAGGGCGGCAAGTTACAGATACTCTGCATGGTATTTAAGTATTCGTAGCGTAGGTACCTATATTGACGTCCTCCTCCTACCAGTATCAGCTTGTCAATGCAGCCCAGAAAACGCACTGCGTGTGATTGCCCCAGAGATCGGCATCTCTGGGATCTTGAGGGTGTTTCGGCGCGCCGTGTCAACATGTGATGGTGGGTGAACGGTCTTGTAACTGCCAACTTTTTGATAAAGTTTCGTCTGTTTCATGTTGCTGTTGATGCCAGAGCGGTGGCCAAAGTGCTCAGGGGTCGATTGAGTCGTTGGTGCGATTTTCAAGGTTGCGACAGAGATCGTCGTGTCCTCATTCAGCTCAATCATGGGTCATTCGTTGAAGGCTGTCTGACGAACACGCATATTCAACACTATGACAGCTTAGACATGTTGTGGTTGAATAGGCCTCGGGCCTGTACCACGACATATGCAGCCCAGCGTAATCAACGACATTAATTCAACAAGTATCCTTTTAGCTCAATTGGGTAAGGCAGCTACCGTAAGGCACGTACGACTTCGTGAGGGCTGCCACCGAGCCCCTTTGGGGCCAACCGTGATCAACACCCATAACGAATAAGCATGATCAGTAGACATGATCCAGCCCAGCGTTTCGGGCGATTTGTCCAATGTTAGGCTGCGTATAGTTCGTAGTTTCTTCGCATTACTGAGCCAGTTACTCCGGCACTTCCGAAGATATAAAGAATCTTATCCCTCTCATGACTTGAGCATCATTGTTGACCACGCCTTCCCTCAGTACACAGAAAACACCACACCGGGCAC